TATATATATATGGAATCTAAGATGAAATCTCATCAACCTGCGACTCTCCATGCGCTGAACTCGCCGCCTGAAAAGAGGGGAAACAACGAGCATCAAAATGCTAGCGAGATCATCTCTACCGCCCCTAAGGGGAAGGGGTAGCAATATATAAGAAAATATTGGTTAGTATATATAAATATAAAGTCATCAATACCGCGCTAAACAGAAATTGGTATTTAGAGATTCATAAGATAAGAATGGATACGTCGAGCGAAATAATCCAAACAAGGAAACCCTCATGTATACATCATATCCCAAATTATGAATCACTTAATATCAATCTCAACTAAGAATAACAATGCAAGTGAAATTAGTAACTAGAAATCCACAACTCAAGACTGGTACTTTGAGCGAAATAATCCAAACAAGAAAACCCTCATGTATATACCATATATCTCAAGCTATGAATCACTAACTACTAACTTCAAACCTATATATGAATAGTTATCACAAACATAAATATTACAGCTTCTACCCTTACTCATAATGAAATAATTTGTCACAATCTCAGACTACCTTCAGGTAGCTGGCATCATCATAAGGAAATATTATCCATCTTAAACATTACAAAATACCATGTCATGTATGTCACAATGTGTACCCTACTCATGGGTAAACTACATGGAACCATACTACAAATATATATATGTATGCCTCTCTTTTTGAAATAACGATACTTTTGTAAGGTTCTTACTTAATCGCTCTGCGGCAATAGGTTTTATCTTCCTATTTCGGCTACATGAAATAACGATACTCTTGTAAGGTTCGCAAAATAACATATGGGTTCAACTTTCTTACTCAATCGTTCTATGACAACAAGTTTTATCTCCCTATTTCGAATATGCTTCTAGATGATCGTATAACGGTGAATAGGTACATCAGCCTAACCCGGAAAAATACATCGATTACCTTTGAGTATTTGGTACAACCGAGATCTCATTACGGGAAAAATAACTAAATACTCCTAGCGTGGTACAACCGAGGTCTCATTACAGGATAAACAACCACACTGAGCATCCATTACTGATGAGCAATGCTTAATCCTATGTTAATTCACTTTCATCAACTCAACGTGTGTTAATATCTTAACAATGCATGTTAATACATCATAAACTATGTGTACGTGCACATATCTCGGTGTGTGTGTTAATATATGATGTTCACTAACATCCCAGGTGTTAAACAACTCATAAGGTTTGTAATACAACATAATAACATCGAGAAACATCTCCTAAAAATAGAAACACTGAAGAATAACATGCACATGCCAAATGTGTGATTGGCGGTTGACCTCGACATGTTTCAGGAGTTCCCCAGGCCTCTGCCTGGAACGCGGTTGACCGCCGCTTAGGTGCGGTCGTCCGGACCGAATTCCAGAGTTCTGTGCAGGTTTTAAATAATTGTGTTCGTGTGTATTTTTGTGATTCAAACTTGTATGATTCGTGCTGAAACATATGTAGAACATTGTAAACATCAAATCAATTTCTCTCGGAATTATCAAACATGTGAAATATAATTAATTGCATAATGAATCATAAATAAACTCTTAAACATGCACAAAACATCATTACGAAGAAAAATCATTAAAATTTAGTTAAACCACGTTATTAATTACTCTAAGATCTTAAAACACTTATGTAGTTTCATTCTTAAACTTTTAAACATGAAAAGATCTGGTCTTTATACATATAATACAAAAGATTTTATTTTATGCACTAATTAGTCAAATTAGCCCGAGAAAACTCGTTAGAAACTCATTTACAATTCTTTAAAACAGGGGAGAGGGATTAGCGAAGATGAAACTCTCCTGAGACTTGATTTAAAACGTGAGAGATAGAATTCCAGTTTAGATCTCCAAGCCACAAACTGAAAATCCCACCTTAGAGCCCTTAATCACTCTCTCAAAATCAAATTAGGGTTTTTAGGAGAGTTTGATGGCAGCTAGGGTTTTTAGATTACTGAAAAATATGTAAAAACTCATGAACAATATGTATATATATCAGGGAAAATGAATATGAGCCTCAAATACCCGAAACCAAGATAGGAAAAATAGTTTTAAGGTTTCGCGGTTAACCGTGACAGTCGATCGAACTGTGGTCGACCGTGACGGTCGACCAGACTAGAAGTTTCCAGATTCTCAGGATTTGACCATTGTGCATGTTTTTGACTCGATTCTTTCTCATGAATGAACTTGTTTATACTTAAAATCCTTATTAATATACTCATACACTATTTAATAATATTTTTCACAATAAATATCCACTTATTATAATTAATCACATATAAATTTAATTTATCAATTGTTAACTCAAATTTTCTAAGGTTTTACAAAAATCCGGCCTCATACCTACGTCACATAGCAGGCTTTCAGTGACTAAGTTTTTAGTAATTAAGGGAACATGTTTCACATCCTTCAATATGAGAGTCTTCCCTGAAGAGAGAGTCTGCATCACAGTCTCAGTTCTAAGAGCATGCACTACAAAATGATCAACCATTGATACGTTCTTTTTAGCAGTAACATAAGAAGAGAACAAATCTCTGTTGGAGCAGACATGACAGATAGCACCTGTGTCTAACTACCAATCAGAGATGTTGTTGGGAGTTATCACCTGAAAGAGCATTGCCACAAAATTGTCAATTTGATTAATATTGTGTATTGTTTTCTTCTTTGGTGCTTTGCAGTCCTTGGCAAAATGTCATTGCTTCCTACATTTGAAGCATTTACCGCTCTCCTTGAACTCTTTCTTCTGAATATTTAGATTCTTCGGGTTTTGGTTCTTCTTTTTGTTAAATGACTTCTTCTTCTTCTTCTTGGAAGAAAAACTAGTACCCTTCTCAGAGTTAGCAACCACCATGTTAGTAGACGTCTTCTGCTTAGCAAGGAGCTCATTCTTCATGCGAGTCTGAATCTCGTCCTCGATCCAAATGAACCTCTTCAAATCAAACAGAGTCACCTATCTTTTCCTTCTCCGAATATCAGTGGAGAATAACATCCAAGATAGAGGAAGCTTGTTGACAAATGCACCAGAAATGAATGTTTGACAAAGATTAATCTTTTTATCCGTCAGCTTCATAACAAGCTTTTCAAGCGCTTTGACTTGAGACAAAACCTCAGTGTCATCTTTGAATTTGAAGTCCAAAAACTTGTCAATGAGGTGAGACTTGAACAGCTTCTCCTTATCCTATACTGGTCCTCCAAAGCATTCCAGATTTCTTTTGCAGAGGGCTTGTTGGTGTAAACATCTGCTAAATAATCGGCCAGACAGTTAAGGAGATAACTCCTGCAGAAGTGATCATCTCTAGCCCAAGAGGTTTTAGACTTTGAATCTTCTTCAGAGTCAGGCTTCTCCTTAGAAATCACATAGTAGATTTTTAAGAGTTGCATCCCGAAAATCATTTTTCGATGCCATACGTTAAAGCTGGATCCGTCAAATTCTCTAATTTAAGACAATCTACTCTAAGTATCATCGCAGGATCCATTGTAGATCGGAAATATTGTTTTAAGATTGTTGACGCGTGTGGATAAATCTAGAATAAAATAGATTAATCTGTTAGATAGTTGAAGTATTATATTTTTAATTTTTTTTAAGTTTAGCTACTGTGCGTTTATGAAACGCTGTTCTTAAAGAAATATTTAGCCTACTCCGGTGTAAGGATCCCAAGGCCAAGCTACTTCCAGAAATAATAGTATAGTGTATTAGTGTGCACCAACCAAGTACTGTCATGATCTCCTCGATCTATAAGATCTTTTGTTCAAGGCAAAGATCTCCTCAATGTGTTAAACCTTTCAGTTCAAAACATTTCAGTTAAAACCTTTCGGTTCAAGCGAAGATCTCATTGATCTATTAAAACCTTTCGGTTCAAAAAACCTTTCGGTTAATACAAAGATCTTTCAATTTGTAATAACCTTTCGGTTCAGAGCTCTGTTCCTTCGGGCACAGACCAAAACTCGCACGCTTTCAAACTCTGCAACTGCAGCACAACAACTTAAACACTTCAATGTGTTTTTGGTATCACCAAGAGCAGTCCCAAGGGGAACTATTTATAGGCCTCTAAGGCCAGCTCAAGGGTCATAAATAGTCATAAATATGACTGTTACAAATCATAATAGCAATTATGATTGTAACATCAAATGAATTGATTGATGTTACTACTGCATGCAGGCTTAATTAATGCATATAGTAACGTCAAAACACAAACTGAACGTGAGGTTCGTGTTTCTACACAACTTGAGGGTCGCGTCGAGACTCATGAACGCGAGGGTCGCGTTCCCTCTCATGAACACAATGGTCGCACTCTCGTGCGAACGCGAGGGTCGCTTCCTCACGTGAACGCGAGAGTCGCGTTCCCTTGCTGCGCCTCAGCCTAATTAGCCCCGATCCCTGACCCATTACTCCACGAGCCCACAAGCCCACGACCCACCAGAACTTATGAGGGATAAATTGAATAAAAACAATTATCGGCTTGCCGTTAGCAAGCCTCGAACACATGACCTTTTGAAATACCAAAACTTTAACTTTCTGCTACGCTACTAAGGATTTCTAAAAAATACCAATAATTAATAAATACATAATTTGAAAACTCATTTTTGAAAAGCGGTTTTGACCAAAAAAGCCAACAAGGATTACCTGACCACAACCATTGTCGAAGTATAGTCAGTATCTTCCTGTTTTTCAACAACTTAAAAACATTTGCACTGATGTTTGCATGTGTATGGTGCTTAGAGAAATCAGGTAGCAACTCGAGAAAACTTTGTAAATCCCCATCTTCTGGGTGCAAATCTAGTAACATGGAAAAAGGTTAAGCCTCAAGAGGAAACTTTAGCTCTTTATCTTATATAGAAATTCCTTAGCTTTCCTCATCTCACCTCTCTTGAGCAAAATTCGAACAACCACGTTAAGCATATTAGAATCTGAAGTGCAACCATATTTTTCTATCGAAAAAAATAAATCATCAACTTCGTTTAACATACCTTCATTCATAAGGCCCTGCATCACAAACTGTTGCGCGCAGCGGAAATTTCAGCAGCACTTCGGCAGCACAACAAGAGAGTCAGATTGCAATAAGAATTTCCGTCTCACCAAGAAAACAAGAATCTGAAGCAAATATCTCAACAAAGTGAGATATCGGCTCTTCCTCTCATCAGTTCTAGGACTGACATGTTGAGGGATCCTAAAAAGCTATTACAAATCACAAAAAAAATGATACAACCAATTTTACGTGGTTCGGCAAATTACCTACGTCCACGGGGTAATGAGGAGAGAGATCTACTATTAGAGGGAGAGAATACAACTAGGATTTACAATCACTCACAACCTAAACCCTCAAACAATCTCTCAAACCTCTCACAAAAAACTCTCTCAACAAGATGCACAAAAGACTTGAAAAGACAGCAGCTTCTCAAAGTCAGCCGCCTCTGCTCACGAACTCATGCAGCTGAATTCCTCTACAAAAAAAAAAAAAAATTTCTCCTTGCACGCCCACAAAAGTTCCGTGCACACCGAATTCGCCGCCCCTTAAACGCTTCCTCCTTCGCTCATAATTAACCTAGGGAATCACGACTATTTATTTAGGGAATCACAGAAGCTCGGGTGGGCTAGCGCGTTCATTCACAATTGTGAACCCGCTGCACGTGAAACGGGTGGGCCTGCCTACCATTCATAATTCTCTACCTCGGTGAAGTTTTCCCAAAACTGAGCCGACACCAAAGTATCCAAAAGTCCCACTTGTTGTGTCCAGTACGAACTCAATCCACAACAAGTCGAGAACCCGAACGAGAGTCCAAACAATCTCACCCCCATCAACTAACACAAACCGGCTGCATCATAAAGACTGCCTATGTATCCTCTTGCCTAAGGAATCAAGCCGAATGTAGTTCACTCAAATGGCCGCCAACGGCCTCAACAATCACGAATATGTAACAAGTTTCGATAATGATCAAACTTGTTGCTCGGAACCACCTTAGTGAGCATATCTGCCGGATTATCCTTCGTGTGGACTTTCACAATTTCCACATCGCCATCTTTAAGAACATACCGAACGAAGTAATAACGAACGTCAATGTGCTTCGTCCGCGCATGAAAAACCTGATTCTTCGCCAAATAGATAGCACTCATGCTATCACAATGAATAGTGACGGATCTCTGCGATATACCAAGTTCCTCCAAAAGTCCTTGAAGCCAAATAGCCTCCTTCACAGCCTCCGTAACTGCCATATACTCTGCCTCCGTCGTAGACAAAGCCACCATCGACTGTAAGGTGTTTCTCCAACACACCGGCACACGGGTCAAAGTGAACACATACCCCGTAGTAGACCGACGCTTATCTAAATCCCCGACATAATCCGAATCAACATAACCAATACATAGCTGCCCACCTGTAGTGTCCCGCTCATAAACTAAACCAACATTAAGCGTACCTCGAATGTACCTCAAAATCCATCTCACGGCGTCCCAATGACCCACTCCTGGATCGTGCATGTATCTCGATACCATGCTTACCGCCTGTGACAAGTCTGGTCTCGTACATACCATCGTGTACATCAAGCTCCTAACTGCGCTCGCATATGGAGTCTTCGACATCAACTCACGATCTTCAACTGACTTCGGTGAAAGACTAGCTGAAACCTTCAAATAGGCTCCCAAAGGTACACCAACTGACTTCGTATTCATGCTAACATGGAATCGCTGTAGAACCTTCTTCAAATAAGCCACCAGTGTCAAATAAATTCTGCCCTTCTTCTTGTCTCTACTGATCTCCATCCCTAGAATGCGTTTTGCCTCACCTAAGTTCTTCATCTCAAACTCATTTGAAAGCTGAACTTTCAACTCATCTATAGCTGACCTGGAAATAGAGGCAACCAACAAGTCATCGACATAGAGTAACAAATAAATGTACGCATCTCCTTTCAACTTGCGAAAATATATGCAAGGATCAAACTGGCTCCGAGTGTACGAATGACCAATCATAAAACCATCAAATCGCCTATACCACTGTCGAGGAGACTGCTTCAAACCGTATAGCGATTTCTTTAATCTGCAAACTAATTTTTCCTTCCCTGTAGCTCAGAATCCCAATGGCTGAGTCATATATATTTCTTCATCAAGATCACCATGAAGAAATGTCGTCTTTACATCCAACTAATCTAACTCCAAACCATACTGTGCCACCAAAGCTAGCAAAATCCGAATCGAAGAGTGCTTCACCACCGGAGAGAAATCCTCATTATAGTCAATACCTTCCTCCTGTGCATAGCCCTTCGCAACTAACCTAGCTTTGAACCTCAATGGAGTGCCCTCAATGCCCTCCTTCTTCGTGTATACCCACTTTCAACCAATTGCCTTTCGCCCCTTTGGAAGCTCAACAAGCTCCAATGTATCGTTCTTATGAAGAGATTCCATCTCCTCCTGTATAGCCACCTACCACGAATCAGCCTCCGAGGCTCAGCCTCTCTGAATGTAGTAGGCACCAACTCATCGATACTCTCCACCGGAAGTGCATACGTAACTGTGTCGGCATACCGTACTGGCATCTGTATGTTTCTCCTCTGTCTCCGAACCGCAATAGAATCCTGAACCTGAGCCGTTGGTTCCTGATCCTACACATCAGTACCCGTATCCTCCATATCATCGTCGTGCTCGCCTGACGTCACCTCAGTCGGCACTCTAATGGATACTGTACCATCTGGACAATGTGGAGCTGCATCGATCTCCACCACCTGCGATATCTCCTCTGTCGGGTCGCTCTCCACCTGATGAGAGCTGGGAAGCTTCAAGATAGAAGCCTCATCAAACGTGGTGTCCCTACTCAGCACAATCTTCTTATCAACTGTATCCCAAAGCTTGTATCCCTTGACACCACGCTTGAATCCTACAAATATGGCCTTCCTAGCTCGAGGTTCCAACTTATTAGTTCTCACATGATAAAATGCAGGGCATCCGAATACCTTGAGCTGGTCATAATCTCGTGCTGGCTCTCCCGACCACTTCTCCATAGGGGTTTTCCCCTCAATCACAGATGAAGGCAGCCTATTAATGAGGTGGCTCGCATATGTAAGTGCCTCAGCCCAAAAGATCTTCTCCAAATCACTCTGCGATAATAAGCATCGGATCTTCTCTAGTAAAAACCGATTCAATCTCTCTGCCACTCCATTTTGCTGTGGTGTATGACTAACCGTGAAGTGTCTCTCTATGCTCTCGTCTCGACATAGCTGCAGAAAGGGGTCTGAAGTATATTCACCACCGTTGTCGGATCGCAATGTCTTGACCTTTCTTCCAGTCTGCAGTTCCAATCTCTTCTTCCACTCCACAAACAAATCTAGGACTTCATTCTTATGCTTCATAGTGTACAGCCAACAACGTCTAGAATAGTCATCTACAAAAGTGACGAACCAATGTCGACCACCAAGTGATGCAGTCTTGGTGGGACCCCAAACGTCTGTGTGCACGTAGTCCAAGATGCCCCTCGTCTGATGAATGGCAGTCCCGAACTTCACATTCGTCTTCTTGCCAAGAACACAGTTCTCACATAACTCAATCTTCCTACTCTTGGCTCCCTTCAATAGCCCCTGCTTGCACAATGCCTGCAGTGACTTTTTACTTGTGTGCCCCAACCTATAGTGCCAAAGTCTGCTCATGTCCGCTTCTGAAATAGCCGAAGCAACCTGGCCAATCTCGGTGCTTTCCTTCAGATAATATAAATTTCGATTGCGGACTCCCTTCATCACCACCAATAATCACTTAGTAACATTCGCTACAGCGTTTTCGAAAGTCACCTTGAATCCCTTTGCCTCCAAAGCTCTAACTGAGATAAGATTTTTCTTTAGTTGAGGAACAAATCTCACCTCCTTCAACTCACGGACTACTCCATCGTGCATCCGAATCCACACGGTACCTATCCCACAAATACCACAGGATTGATCATTTCCCATGACAACAACACCCCCATCGAGTCTCTCGAACGATGCAAACCATGCCTAGGGGTCACATGATAAGTAGCGTCGGAATCAATCATCCAATCTGATGCATCCACATGGTTCACCTTCGGAGTAATCAGTAGAGAAAAGCACGAATCATCGGAATCATCGCCTTTCGTAACGTTCACCTCATTGGCCTTCGGGCCCTTCTTTTTGCTATTCTCCTTCTCCTTGAGCTTCGAACAGTCTCTCTTCCAATGTCCCTGCTCCTTGCAAAATGCACATTGGTTCTTTGATAATTGATGGCGGCCTCTAGACTTTGACCTTCCTCTATTACCACCTTTCAGATGTGGGCTTCTACCTCTCGTCGACAAGGCCTCGCCTGAAGTACTAGCGCGGGAAGTCTTCTTATCCTTCCTCCTCAAATCGTAATTGGTCAATGCGTTAGTCACTTCACTATAGCTGATAGAAGATCTCCCGTTCAACAAAGTGAGCACGAAGGTATCATACTCCTCATCCAGTAAGGAGCCCAATAAAATAATCGCCTTGTACTCATCCGATATCTTCTCATCAATATTTGCCAAGTCCGACAATAACTTAGTATAGTTGTTCACATGCGCCGCTAGTGAGGTGCCTGTGGACATCTGAAATCTGAAGAGTCTTCGCAGCAAGTGCAACCTGTTCTCAACACTCTTCGTGAGATACTTGTTGTTGAGAATTTTTCACATCTTCATTGCAGACGTCAACCCAATCACATCATATTTCAGCTCCTGTTCCAAACATGACCTGATCACCCCACAAGCGTTCCTATTCTTCTTCTCCCATACCGCCTCTTCATATTTAGGTGACCTCTCGTGGACCATGATGGTCTCTTCCAGATTTTAAGCATTGAGCGCATCCTGTACGTCGCTCATCCACAAACCAAAGTTGATTTTACCGTCATACTTTATCATACTAATCTTAGTGTTCTGAAAACCAACTTGTATTGTACTCGCCATCGACTTGCTGCTTTTACCTTCTTCTCCCATTGCAAACTAACTCAAAATTATAGAGAAAGAACAAATTTGATAGAAACTAGGAACCACCCAACTGAACCCTAGATTTGATAGAAATTAGGAACCACCCAACTGAACCCGAACCCTAGATTAGATTCCAAATAGATCTCCTATCCACACGAGGAAAGCGAAATCTCCAACGACAACTCCTAATGCTATCTCCACCGAAGCCTAGAACTCTAAGAACCAAGCTTCACACAAGAATCTTCCTCCACCAAACTCCAAAATCCTAGATCTAAAATCTGGGCTCTGATACCACTTGTTGCGCGCAGCGAAAATTTTGGCAGCACTTCGGCAGCACAACAAGAGAGTCAGATCGCAATAAGAATTCCCGTCTCACCAAGGAAACAAGAATCTGATGCGAATATCTCAATAAAGTAAGATATCGGCTCTTCCTCTCATCAGTTCTAGAACTGACCCGTTGAGGGATCCTAAAAAGCTATTACAAATCACACAAAAACAATACAACCAATTTTACGTGGTTCGGCAAATTGCCTACGTCCACGGGGCAAGGAGGGGGAGATCTACTATTAGAGGGAGAGAATACAACTAGGATTTACAATCACTCATAACCTAAAACCTCAAACAATCCCTCAAACCTCTCACAAAAAACTCTCTCAACAAGATGCATAAAAGACTTGAAAAGACAGCAGCTTCTCAAAGTCAGCCGCCTCTGCTCACGAACTCATGCAGCCGAATTCCTCTGCGAAAAAAAAAATCTTCTCCTTGCACGCCCACAAAAGTTCCATGCACACCGAATTCGCCGCCCCTTAAACACCGCCTCCTTCGCTCACAATTAACCTAGGGAATCACAACTATTTATTTGGGGAGTCACAGAAGCTCGGGTGGCCCAGCACGTTCGTTCACAATTGTGAACCCGCTGCACGTGAAACGGGTGGGCCTGCCTGCCATTCACACAAACGTATATGTCACAATGTTCAGAACGAATTCTTTAGCAAGCATATCACAAAATAGATTCTTGGCCACTTGAGTTCTACCGACTCTGAACATCCAATCGATCATGATTGTGAAGGCTTTGAAATCGATTGTTGTTAAAGATTTTAGTCTCCCTATATACTACGATCTCCGCAACTCGGAAGCTAACCCACAATCAATAATATAGAAAACAACCACAATCAAGAAGAAAAAACACCAAGATTTACGTGGTTCAATTGACCAACTTTGACCTACATCCACTGGACAACAATACGAGAAATCCACTATATATCAGGGAGTACTACAAGATGAACCACTCAACTCTCGTCTCTCAATCTCTCAACCTCACATACATAATCAACTCTCATATTCTCTCTAAAACCCACTCCTTACAATCTTTTGAACGGAAAAAGACTACGCAACCCTCTCCCAATGATGTAATCTTTTGCACAGATAAAGACTACGAAACCCTTGCATCTCACATAATATTTTTGATAAGACTACGCCCTCTACTACCCCTAGATTATAAGAATATTAGCTTTCTCTCCTCTCCTTTTTTTGGTTTTTCCTCCAATAATAGAAGAATATATATAGGAAAACCAAAACCCTATCTCTAATCTAACTTCCTAATTAAAATAGGATTTAAGCTCCTAATCATGATGAGACCTAATCTTCTAATCAAGATAGATCTCTAACACTATCTAATTCTCATGAAGTTATATAAAGAATATAAGACAAATTCCCAACAGTTGTATGCTTCTTATTTAGCATGCTTTGAAGTAGATTCAATGCTTTACCAATGCATTTGTTTTTACACAATCCATCCAAGATTACATTGGCATGTATCAATGTCTAGAGTTACCTAATCACCTTATGGTGCATTTTTCTTGCAATATTGCCATCTTCTAGCTTGATATAATCTTGTAAGTATGGTGCGGTAGACTTCTTTTATCTATTTCACTCCCTCTTTACGCATCTCATCTAAGAGCCTTAAAGCCATGTCGATTTTTTCCTATCTAAAATAAGAGTTGATTAGAATGGAATATGTAAATTCGTTAGGCTTCTGACCTTTTTCAAGCATGAGATCGAAATATTTCAATCCTTCATGCATTTCACCTATAAGACAATATCCATCCATAAGAGTGCTGTAAGTAGGCCTGTCCATCCGGTCCGAAAAACCGAGCTTGGCCCGGGAAAAACCGGAGCCCGAACCTAGGCCCGGGCCTGAGCGGGTCGGCCCTGTTTTTTTTATATTTTTTATTTTTTAAAAATCTCTTTAAATTTTGAAATATACATAAAAATTACAGAAAATGCTAATAAAAAATAATAATATTATTAATAACCTGAAATAACATAAATTACAAATATAAAAAATTATAAAAATAAAAGATGATAAAAATAACTTCTTTATTAATAATTAATAAATCCTTTACAAGTATAAATTTATTTCGGAATTCGTGGCATCACAATAGATGAGTACATCCCAACTAGGTTGGCACCTACTCACCTATATTATTATCATTTGCAACTGTTTCGAAAATAATTCATTACAATTTAAAGCTATGAAATACAAATTATAATTTGATGAATATTTTTTAATCTTTATATCTATCTGCTAGTCCCAACTCTTTAAATTTATCTTTAATTCTAGCCATCCGATCGATGCCTTGCGTTCGCTTTTCGTACCTCCACCAATCTTGTAAGCACATCATCGCTTGTACAGTATACAGATCTAAGCATGTCCTGTGGTTGTCGATCAAACGTCCTGCTGTGCTGAAGGCAGATTCCAAAGCTACTGTCGAAACCTACACTGTTAGTAAGTCACGAACCATGGTGGAAAGTATATGATATAAAACTGATCCATATACTCTCCACCATTATAAAATATCTAAAACATTTCCTTGACATTTAACTAAAGAAGCAGATAAATATTCATCTATTTCAGAAACCTCTAATGATGATCCAAGTCCAGATCCACTAGTTAGCTCAGTTACCATTGCATACCTATTAAAACTTATACTTTTACCTCGGCTTGAGCTTGAAGCCGCCGAAGCTATAGACTATTGTGCAGCTACACTATGTCTAGCTGCATACTCATCATATAAGGTTTAAAAATAAATTCTAATAGCTAAATGATGAGAAGTAGTAGTAAGGGTGGATCTATCATCTAAATCTATAATTTGTCCACCATATAATGATTGAAACAAACTTCGAAGGTCAATACCCTTCAAACATGGATCAATAAGAACCCCCAAACCAAAAATATGAGGAATAGACCTAAAATACTTATTAAATTTATTCTCCATTTGAAAAATTATAGATCCAAAAGTATCATTCATACGATATTTGACAATTTTTTTTTTGAATATTTAAAATTTGTAAAGCAGCTAAAGTAATAGTTGGATAATAACAGCCAGATATTAACATTATAACATCATAAAAACTTGTAACATCTCATTTAAATTACATATAATTATCCATTCATCTTCAGTTATTCCATAAGTGCTACCAGAGCTAGAATTAGAAGCATAATAATTTATAAAATCATTTATATTTTTTTTATATTCTATTGCCATACTTAACATTACATAGGTAGAATTCCACTTATGGTTAACATATTTTGGAATTAGTCTGAGCTTATAATTTTTCTTTTATAAAATTATTTCCATCTTTTAGGTCTTTGTTCAGAAGCATTATGCATATAAGCAACTATTCTAATTTTTTCTATCATGAGTTTAATTTTAGTAAATACACTTTGAACAATTAAATTTAAAATATGACAGATACATCTAATATGAAAAAGATCACCATGACATGACAATGACAGAGTTATTTTTATAAAATCAACAGCTATATTGTTATTACTTACATTATCTAGTGAAAGAGAAAATATTCTTTGATCAATTTCTAGTTTCATAAGTTCTTCAATTGTTAAATTTGCAATATTAATACCAGTATGTGATTCTTCAATTGTAATAAATGGAACAACTATTTTAAACATTTGCCAATTTTTATCAATCCAGTATGCTGTGATACATAAATAACCAATTTGTGCTCTAGATGACCAAATGTTAGAAGTTAAAGAAAATCTACAGTTTAAATTTTTAAAATAAGAAATTATTTTTTCTTGTTCCTCTTGATAATATTTTAAAATATCACGTTAATAGGTTTGACGAGAAAATTTTATAAATACGGGGTAAAAACCATCTCTAAACATATCTTTAAATTTATCATCTTCTACTAATTTAAAAGGAAGGTTATTAAGAATGATAAACCTGATGACGTATTTCCTGGCTCGGACAACATCATAATTCCAACTACCGAGACTACCAAAAGAGGAGCATTAGGAAATCATAGATTATCGGATATCACCTTGAGGATTCTGGCCTTTGTTGTGTTTTTTTATATGACGTTTGACGTGGTTCGTGCCGCTCTTATGATGAGCTTAGAAAGTATTGCCGCACAACGCATATTTAGCCTTCTGGGTGAGGACCCTACCGTGTTTATCATTGGTGACATCTATCTTCTCGAAAAAATTCCACACATCGGATCTCGGACTTTTAGGAGCTCTTAGTATAGAATCGTCACTACCAAATTCGGGATTAACACCGGTAGGATCAGTAGGAGTAGCTGTTGTAGAAGGACTCATTTCAAGATCAGCAGGAGATAGGTTTTGCTTTTCATAATCAGATTCGGAAGCTATTTGATGAAAGGATTAGAAAGTATAAGATATTTTAAGAGAGTATTAGAGAGAAGTAGATGAGTTCTCGTGTGAGGAGAAGAAATGAAAACCCCCCTCTATTTATAGAGGCAGCCTCCTAGGCAAATGACCAAAAAAACCTCACCATATGACCGTTCTTTGACCGTTTTGGGGACAAAGTGGTCAAAAAGTGGTCAAAAATCAAATCTGGCCTTTATGACCGGGTCGGACCGGGCCAGCCCGGCCTGGCCTGACATAAGGTCACCTAGGTGACCTCTTGACGCGGGCCGGCGCTGACCCGCTGTGCCCGCTTTTACTTCAATGGTCACTTCCGGTGCACCTTGGAGCCCGGGCTGGACCCGGAATCCTGCCGTTTGCCCGGCCGCGGAAGCCAGCAAGCCGGCCGTATCGAGCCGAAACCCAGCCTGGCCCAAGTTTCGGGGCCAACCCCGGACCGGGTCGGGTTCCGGCCCTACCGGGCCTGGACCGACAGGCTTTTTGGACAGGCCTAGCTATAAGTAACCATGTCAGGCTGTACACCTCTATAAATCATAACATCTAATAACTTACGAGCTTTTGTAACCTTTCCTTCCTTATAGAGCATCAATCAATGTATTGTGTGTCACTACATCTTGATGGAATCCTTGATCGCTCTTTTCAACAAGTAATCTCAATGACTTGTTTCATTTCCCTTTTTTGCAAAAATCTGCTCACCAAAGAGTTATATATCACTATGTCCAAATAGATCCCTTTGGCAACCATTTCATTCAGTATACCCTCGACACCTTCAGCTCTTCCCGCCTCATGAATGCTGCCCAATAAAACTGTATGCAAAAAATTATCGGGTTGCACTCCAGCTAGTTGCATTTTTCTGAGTTAGTTCATAGCATTATCGATTCTATTGTTCTTATTACAGCATTTAATAATGATATTATAAAGATCGAATAGTAAAACATCCTTCTGCATAAATTTTAGGATTCTTGATACCTCATCGAAGTGACCTTCTTTAAAATAACCATTTAACAGAATGTTGTAGATGAATGTATCAGGTTTTACACCACTTTCAACCATCACATTAAGCAATTTGTTGGCTTCAGACGTATTTCCTTGTTTACAACGAGGACCTATCAGTTTGTTGAAGGTATTAGCAACCTGGCCGAGCCCATGATCCACCATATTGAGAATTCTCCACTACAATAAAAGTTATAAATTATGATACATTTTTTATCTCAACACGAAACATTTTTGTGTCGCATAAATTGAGCGCGACACATACCAAAAGTGTGGTTAGAGCATGTATGGAGAGCGTCTTTCTATATATGCGAGAATGTGTCATAAAACTCACGACACATATATGTGTCACGAGTTTTGTGACACATACATGTGTCACGAGTTTTGTGACACATACATGTGTCACCACTCTCGACACATATATGTGTCAAGGGTAATAGTGACACATATTTGTATCTAGACCATACAAATATAAAGAATATCATCATTCAACACTATAACTTCCTACAAGGTCACCCATCTTAAGATTACTCTCACCAAAACATACTTAACTGTGGAGTTTTGTTAACTTATACACAGTCATAAATGTTTAATCATCATCATAATTAAACTCTAAAATTTATTATTTAAGCCCATTAATAGATTCTCTCATAATCCATATTAGACTATTAGCTTTTAATTATATTTAATTGTATATCCAATGACACAAATATATGTCGTGATTTGCTATACGTTTTATTTGTGTTACTATTGTTTCATATTTTACAAATAAGATGACACTTTTATATGTGTCATAAAATAAATGTGGACACATACAGCTTTTGTTGTTGTGCACATAGCTTCTTTCCATTGTCCTCGAGTAGAATGACCATAGATAATGCAAGTATTGGTATTGCAAAAAGTAAATCATAGGTAGCATTATCCATCAGCCTTTGTTTGCATGAGAGTCATGTTGTAGGTGAATGCATTAAGCTCAACTTCTCCTTGTATTTTCATCTTCTTAACAAACTCAATGGCCAAGCTCGTATTTGCATAGCCCTTTGTTAAGAGCATTGTACGTGACAACGATAGGCTTGCATCCCCACTGTGGCATTTTATAGCGTGCATCTTCATCCTTGTTCTGTTTCCACAGGTCATTGACAAGATAGTTGAAGGTTATGCCATTGCCACTCCAGTCTCTTTTCAAGATGGAGCACAAGAACCCAAAACTGAGATCGACAAGATTCATGTTGATGCAACGGTTGATGAAGATACTGTGGGCAATGACATTGGGCGAAATGCCTCCGACCCGGTTCATCTACTAGACAAAGATGTGATAACAGTTGGATTTCGGTTGTAAGTCTTCTCGATTACTTGAAGGATTGAAGCAAAGGGGACGTTGAACTATTAAAAGCTGATGGATTGGGATTTGCTTCGAGCATTAGCACATGAGAACTCATCATTTTCAGTTGAGTTTGAGAAAGATGAGAGGAGTAACATTCAGATGTTGGTTTTAGAAGTGTGAAGACTGAAACCTGAAACAAAATTGCGAGTCTGGAAATTCTCGGGTCGGTCGACCGACATAGTGACTCTGGTCGATCGCATCGACTAAAAGGAAAACAACCCAGGAACTCACTCTGGCCGGTCGACAGAAGCTTAATGTCGGTCAACCAAGAGTGGTCATCCGGTTGATCGAAGGTGATGGTCCGGTCGACTGAAAAGGTGCATAAAACCCTGTAGGAAATTAACGTTCTGGCCGGTCGACCGACACTGATGGTCCGGTTGACCAAAAGTCATTTTTCCAGTTTCCTAAACTGTTTGAGAAATTATTTTGGGCTGGAATTCTATATATACCTAAACGATTTTAGGGTTATTAAGACACGTGAAAAGAGGGTTTTGAGAGGATTCTTTCAGAGAGATAAAAACCTATTTGTGGGCATTGTAATCTTCTTCAATTAATCAAAGAATTTTGTGGTGTTTCTCTCGGGGATGTAGGCATGTTGCTGAACTTCATTAAATCTAGTGTGTTCTTTCTTGTTTATCTTTCCTACAATTTTTTTATTTGTGGTGATTTTCCTACTTGCTAAACTCTTAGCACAAGGTCCGGAAGGGCTCGGGTTCGATTGATTGTTTTGAATCCCCAACAACTGGTATCAGAGCTTTGTTCAGAAGATTTGGGCGAGAGCCATGGCAGAGGAAAGAAAATCAAAGATCGAGAAGTTTGACGGACCAGACTTCGCCTATTGGAAGTCACAGATGGAGGACTTTTTGTACCGAAAGGATCTTTACCATCCGTTGATGGGCAATGCTAAGGGAAAGAACAAGGAGGAATTAGACGAGGAGTGGAAAATACTGGATAAGAAGGCTTTTGGGCAAATCCGGTTGTCGCTCTCCAAATCGGTCACCCATAATATATTGAAGGAGAAGATGATGGTAGGGCTTATGGAAGTGCTCGCGAAGATGTACAAGCAACCGTCAACCGTAAACAAGGTGCATCTCGTCAAAATACTCTTCAACCTCCTTCACGATGCACCTCAATGAGTTCAACATGATTGTTGATCAACTTATCTCCGTGGACATCACGTTTGATGACAAAGTGTAGCCCTAATTGATTCTATCATAGTTGCCAGATAGTTGGACAAGTTGTGTGACCGTAATTAGCAACTCGACGGGGAAGAAAAAGTTGAAGCTGAGCGATGTTGTTAGCATGATTCTATCCGAGGAGGTTAGAAGGAAATCGTTCGAATCAGAAGGTTCAGCTTTAGCCCTAAATCTCGAGCAGAGAGGCCGAAGCCAGAAGAAGGGTAACTAGAACAGGAATCGATCGAAGTTAAAGAAGAAGAGGTCAAACTAGAAGGTTAGGTCTATTAAAGGAAAGTATTAGAACTACGGTCAGGAGGGCCATATGTCTTCAGTCTGGAAAGCACAAACGAAGGATACGAATGAGCAGGAGGCTTATATCATGCAAGATGTCTTGATCCTTGCTATGGATGGTGATTCTGATTCATGGGTAATTGATTCAGGAGCCTTTTTCCATGCCATTGCTAATAGGAAGCTTCTTTAGAACTATGTAGCAGGGGACTTTCGAAAAGTGTACTTGGGGAATAACAAACCTTGTAGTATTGTTGGAAGAGGCGACATGTAGATTCAGATGAAGGGCTCCAAGTAGAATCTGAAGAATGTCAGACAAGTACCTAAGCTGAAGAGGAATCTTATTTCGGTTGGCCAGCTTAGAACAGAAGGCTATGTTTTAACATTCACCGGGGATTCGTAAAAAGTTTCCAACATTATTATGGTGGTTGCCCGAGGCAACAAAACAAGAACTCTCTATCTCACTTCACATGCGAGTGAAACCCTCGTAATTAAAGCTAGCAAGGAGAGTGCAGACTATGACACAATAGGTTAGGACACATGAGTAAGAAGGACATAAAGATTCTACACTCATAGGGAAAGCTAACCATCATCGATTCTGTGAAAGTTAGTGTTTGAGAGGACTACATCTACAGGAAGTAGAACAGGATCAGCTTTCAGAAGGGTGGAAGGCCACCTAAAGCTTAGAAGCTAGAGCTTGTTCATACAGATTTATGGGGTCCAACTAGCGTGTCTTCTCTTGGCGGTTCAGCTTACTATGTCACCTTTATCGACTATCACTCGAGAAAGGTGTGGGTATACTTCATGAAGCACAAGTCAGAGGTGTTCATGATCTTCAAGAAGTGGAAAGCCATGATGGAGAATGAGATAAATCTGAAGGTGAAGTGTCTGAAATCGGACAACAGTGGAGAATATGAGCTGGACGAGTTCAAGAGATTCTGTGCTCTAAATGGGATTCATTTGGAGAGTACTACTCCATGGACGCCGCAACAGTATGGGATTGCAGAGAGGATGAATATGACATTGATAGAGCGTGCGAGAAGCATACGTCTACATGCAGGTCTACCTAAGACATTTTGGTCGGACGCAGTGCATACAATAGTTTACTTGAATAATCATGGGCCATCAGTTTTATTGGACTTTGGGATTCCAGAAGAGGTTTAGAGTTGCAAGAAGGTTAATCTCTCACACTTACGAGTATTTGGTTGCGTGACATATGTTCATATCAGTGACCATGTTAGGGACAAGCTAGAAGCTAAGTCACAGAAGTGTACATTCATTGGATACGACATTGATGAGTTCCGGTATTGTCTGTAGGATGAGAAGTATGGGAAAATCATCAGAAGCAGAGATGTGATATTCAATAAGGAGGTGATGTACAAGGACAGGGATAATGCCAGTGATAGCCAAAGCAGTGGGAGCAGTACTAAGGATGCAGACAGATCCGAGTATATGGATTTGGAGGAACTTCCAGATGAGGGAGACAGTGTCAGTTCTGATCGAAGAATGGAGGAGACTCCAGGTGCAGAGACTACTAGCCAAGGCATGGAGCTTAGAAGGTCATCCAGGCTACCCAAACCGAATCCCATATATCTCTCATCACTTGATTATTTACTTTTGATAGATAGCGGTGAACCAAAGTGCTATGAGGAGGCTATGCAAGTAAGTGAATCTCAGCAGTGGGAGCATGCGATGCAAGAAGAGATGGATTCTCTACACACTAATAAGACATGGGAGTTAGCTCAGCTACCTGCACAAAAGAAAACTTTACATAATAAATGGGTCTATCAGGTCAAGCAGGAGAGTGATGGAAGCAAGAGAAACAAGGCTAGATTAGTCATGAATGGTTTCCAATAGCGGGAAGGAGTGGATTATACAGAGATATTTTTCCCGTTGTAAAGCTTACAACCATTAGAGTGGTGTTGAGTTTATTAGCTGTAGAAGATCTCTACCTTGAGCAATTAGATGTGAAGACTGCCTTTCTTCATGGTGACTTAGATGAAAAAAATCTACATGAAGCAACCTGTTAGCTTCATTGAAGAAGGAAAGGAAGAGATGGTGTGTAAGCTCAAGAAGAGCTTGTACGGATTAAAACAGGCTCCGAGACAGTGGTACAAGAAGTTCGACAACTTCATGCAGAGCAATGGCTATGGAAGATGCAATTCAAATTATTGTTGCTACTTCAAGAGGTTCGAGTGTAGGTATATCGTGTTATTATTATATGTTGATGACATGTTAATTGCAGGACCATGTTTAGAAGAGATTAACAAATTGAAGAAGCAGTTGGCAAAGGAGTTTGCTATGAAGGATTTGGATGTAGCGAAACAAATTCTTAGACTATGAATCAGTAGAGATGAAGCTGAAGGGACATTAAAGTTGAGTCAAGCTGAATACATTAAGAATATACTTCAGAGATTCATTATGGAGAATGCTAAGCCCTTCGGCACGCCCCTTGAAAGTCAATTCAAGTTATCTAAGGAGCAATCACCCAAAACAGATGCGGAGAAGAAGCACATGAGCAGAGTGCCATATTCATCAGCCACTGGTAGTCTTATGTACGTGATTGTTTGCATGAGACCGGATATCACCCATGTAGTGGGAGTTGTGAGCAGGTTTGCTAGCAATCTAGGGAAGCAATATTGGGAGGTTGTGAAGTAGATATTGCGTTACTTGAGAGGGACTACGAATATGCCACTATGTTTTAGGAGGAAGGAGTTGGGATTACGAGGATACATGGATGCAGATTTCGTCAGTGATCATGATATGAGGCGAAGCACTATTGGGTATGTTTATACTTTAGCGTCGATAACAGTGAGCTGGGTCTCACGTCTGCAGAAGCTAGTAACATTGTCCACGACTGAGGCAGAGTATATCGTAGTGACTGAAGCTAGCAAGGGGATGATTTGGTTGACCAAGTGCCTGGAATAGTTCGATCTGAAGCGGAGGAACAAAGTTCTTTATTGTGATAGCCAGAGTGCTATATACCTTGCCAAGAATCTAGTATATCATGCCAGAATGAAGCACATCGACATACGTTACTACTTCATACGCTTGCAGATTGAGGACGACAAGTTAC